TACACCCTCAGGTTCAATGTCTTCATTATCACAAAGATGATTAATACCTTCATTCTCAACATGTTCATTTTCACCTAAGTCATCTACTTGTGCATTAAAATCTTTCTCAGTTCCTACTAATTCTTCCACATGATTTTGTTGTTTAGATTCATTGACTATATCATTATAAATTCCTACAAGTTCTTCAACATGATTTTGCTGTTTAGATACATTGACTAAATCTTCAGTTGAGTTATCAAGTGAACTATTTGTTTTGTTTTGAAAAAAGTTATCCAGAGCTCCCTTTTGAGATTGAGTTAATTCCTCTCTCTCTCTCTCTCTCTCTCTCTCTCTCTCTCTAATTTTTTTAATTTTTAATTTTTTAACTTCTAGATGGGTGTTTATTAGGGAAAATTGTTACTTGAAAACATAAGCAATACAAGGAAAGCCAATGCAATTTTAATACTTCAAAGAATAAACAAAGAACAACATAACCTGTAATTTGAGAAATCCCTCTCCATAGAAACAAACTTGATATTTCCAAATTTGCAATCAATTAGAGCAAAAATAATGTGTAACTGCATGAGTTCACAAATCTACAAACAAACAAATAAAATCATATTTTCCTTTTCATTTGATATCAAATCATAAAAAAATTATATTCAATTGATTTCTACAACGACCCATTTTGCATTGAACAAAAGCCCACACTTTGGATTTTGGAATCTCCCCAATCTACCAACAGAAAAATTAATTTAGGGATTCACAACTCTGTAACTAGTAGGAGAGGCTTAGATGAAATGAGATGAAGGGGATTCATAAGAAAGCGGAAGGGATGCGAAAAACTTAACCTGTAACTATAAGAAGAGGATTCATAAGGACCAGCTTAGATGAGGCTTAGGAGAGGATTCCAGACTTTGTAACTAGAAGAAGCGATGTGCAAAAGTTAACCTGGAGGAGTGGAACGGGTGCACAAAAGCATTCTTCTTCTTGAGGAGTGGAACATACCAATCCTCATCGTCTTTTTTTTTTGAAAATATTAAATTAGTTATAATAATCTCATATAATATTTATTTTTAAAAAAATTGGGCCCCCTTGAATAATGGGCCCAAGGCGGCCGCACTAACTACCCCTATTCAGGGCCGAGCATAGGTATAACTAGGGTGGGCACGGTTCGGGTTGAACCGATTTTTGCCCCAAATTTGAACCAATTTGGTACTATTTATCCGGTTTGATTCAGTTTAATTTTAATAAAAAAATTTCAAAAACTATCCGGTTTGGGTTGAACTGGTTTCGTTTTGAACCGGATTATAAAAATTAATTTTTAATACAATTCTCAATTGAAATATTATTATTATTACTTGAAAATTAAAAAATTATTCAATTTCATATAAAAATAAATATCAAAGTTAGAAAAGAGAGATATTTTGAAACTTGGAAAAATATTAAATTTTTTTTTGGGGTGAAATTAAAAATATAGCATTAAATATAAATATATATATTGAAATTATATATTTTTCAATTTGACCGGTTCGGTTTGGCCCGGTCCAGTTTTTGAAGACATATAACCGGATCCAAAACTGGTCCAAACCTGTCCGGTTCGGTTTTTGACCGATTGTTGACTTTGTGCTCAACTTGGTTTTTTTCCAATTTGGTTATGTGCGGTTTGGTTCGAATTTCCGGTTCGCCGGTTTAAGTGCCCACCCCTAAGTATAACTTAATTGGTTTAACTCTTCCACCTCCATCAATACGAAAAGAGATTGAAAACCCCTAAGAATTCAATGAATATTTGTGTAAACTTCTGTCAATAGCTTGTACTTAAAAAAAAAATCCTGATAAGTAAATAATAAGGAAGAGTGGGAGTGGCCAAGTGCCAGGCGAATGGCGATGTAAACAAATTAAACAGAGTTGCGGGTAGCTCAAAGCCTCCAACCAACTCCTCCTCGTCTTCTCCGCCCACTTTCTTCATCACCTTTCAACATTCTTCTTCTTTTAAATCACACTCACACAGATCACCCCCAATCCCTTCTTTCTCTCTATCTCCTCCAGTTCTCCGAAATCCAGAATGGCGTCTTCTCCATTTCTATCGAAGACCACCATTTCCTTCTCCTCCTCCATCTCCACTTCTCTTCCTTGGCGGTCCTCACACTCTTCCCCTTCCTTCTCCACCGCATTTCGCACTAAACCCCGTCGGAGAAACCTGACCGTCCAATCCAAGATCAGGGAGATCTTCATGCCTGCCCTCAGCTCCACCATGACCGAGGGAAAGATCGTCTCCTGGGTCAAATCCGAAGGCGACGTCCTCGAGACCTTCTACGACGGAATTCTCGCTGCCATCGTCGTCGGCGAAGGCGAGACCGCCCCTGTCGGATCCGCCATCGGACTACTGGCCGAGACCGAAGAGGAAGTCGCTGAGGCTAAAGCCAAAGCCAAATCCGCTTCATCAGATTCCCCTGCTTCTTCTTCCCCGGCTGCTGAAGCTGTTACGCCCACTCCTCCTCCTGCTACTTCCACTCCCGCTCCAGCAATCGCCCAGCCTTCTCCACCTGCTACTTACACTCCCAAAAAGACTGTGGCCACGCCTTTTGCCAAAAAGCTAGCCAAGCAACACAAGGTGGACATTGCCTCCGTGGTGGGCTCCGGCCCATTTGGCCGAATTACACCTGCTGATGTGGAGGCCGCCGCCGGAATTGCCCAGCCCAAGAAAACCGTCGCCGCCGAGCCCACTCCCGTGTCCGCTGCTCCACCCAAGCCTTCTGCTGCTCCTTCGGCTTCATCAGCGCCTCTGCTTCCTGGCTCAACCGTGGTGCCCTTCACAACGATGCAGGCCGCCGTTTCGAAGAACATGTTGGAGAGTCTCTCGGTGCCAACATTCCGCGTTGGTTATCCAATCAGCACCGACGCGCTCGATGCCCTCTACGAGAAGGTACATTGTGGATAGTGTTTGATTTGATCGGGTTGATGCCTTTGGAATTCCTGTTGGGTCTGATTGGCATATGCAATTCTGGGACTTTGAGCTGAATTTATCGACATTTTTTGTACAGGTGAAGCCAAAGGGTGTGACCATGACTGCATTGTTGGCCAAGGCTGCTGCTCTGGCACTCGCTCAGCACCCGGTTGTAAATGCCAGCTGCAAAGACGGGAAGAGCTTCACCTATAATAGTAGCATAAACATCGCTGTTGCTGTGGCAATCAATGGTGGCCTTATAACCCCTGTTCTTCAGGATGCCGACAAGGTCTGTGATTTCTGAATGATATGTTAGTTAAATTTAATATTTTTGCTCTTGATAGTTGGAGTTTTAGATATTGATGGGTAATTTGTATTTGTTTTCGCAGTTGGATTTGTATTTGTTATCCCAGAAATGGAAAGAGCTAGTGGAGAAGGCCCGTGCGAAGCAACTTCAGCCCCATGAGTACAGTTCAGGTCTTTATTGTACAAATTCTTAGAAACGCTGTGTTTGTTACTTCTATTCTCCTTGCTTTTCTGTTGTACTCATTAAGTTACATTGAATTCTATACAGGAACTTTCACTTTGTCCAATTTGGGCATGTTTGGAGTGGACAGATTTGATGCTATTCTTCCTCCAGGACAGGTGAGTTTTAACCCTTAAAGATAAGAATTTTTGGTTTCGTGAATTGATAATTTATGTTAATTATTATTTCGCTGTTTGCTCAAATTTTTTATTAATAATCAGGGGGCTATCATGGCTGTTGGAGCTTCAAAGCCAACTGTTGTGGCCGATGCAGATGGGTTCTTCAGTGTAAAAAGTAAAATGCTGGTGAGTATCATCGGTTTTTCTTCATAATGTGTGCTATGTATCTTAATGTTGATGTGCTGGAGAACTTTACAATGATATCAGTTTAGTTTCACTATGACTATCATTTAAACAAAATTCAACAGCATATGCAAATGCAAAATTCAACAGCATATACTTCTTGTTACTAGTACTTCCGAATTTTCCATGTCAGCTACACAAAGCATGGTAACCTGCTACTTTCTTCTGTGAGGAAAAGAATGTTAAGAAGTTATATATAAATTTGGCAAGAGTTGTGCTTGACTGAAATTAGCTGTTCTCACGAAATATAAAGGATTTATATGTACTTCTCAGTTCTATATGCATGTCAACTAATCTTGTGGGAGAGAAACAGAGCCTTCTATGCAAACACCTCCATGCACCTCTATGTGAAAGGAGGGGAACATCACTTTCTTTGTAGTTGATCTATTGACTCCAATTCCGGAAACACCAAGATTTTATAATGTTGATTGGATTTAATAACTAGGTTTCTTTGCACTGAATATTTTTCTTCCTCTGCTTATCAATTTTGTCAGTTGAACACAACAGGGAATCTGAAACTTATAGCTTCTCTTGTGGTTAGAAACTTTTAGAATAGATACTTAATTTAGTTGGAATGTGCATCTTTCTACAGGTAAATGTAACAGCTGATCACCGGATTGTTTATGGTGCTGATTTGGCTGCCTTCCTCAAGACGTTTGCAAAGATTGTTGAGAACCCAGAGAGCCTCACGTTGTAGTTGGTGTTTCAGGACTTCCAAGGATAAAATGTTTTTGACCATAAGCCTCTAATTTTCATCAGTGAAAAAAGAATGACGTCTCTTTCAAACGGGGTGCCCAACTAAAGAACACGCTTTTGCAGTAATTTCTAGCATTTTCTGCTTGTGTTGTACTTCATTTTGTTTTGAACTCCCTTAAGAAATTGCAATGCTTTGTTAGTCACTGTTGAGAAGAATTTGAAACAGGGAAATAGCAACTTTTGAAATTTTTGGATAAGAACAATGCTTGGTGGGAAAGTTCAAAACCCAATGGCTGTGTAATAATATCATGTATGACAGGCATAGAATCTATACATGAATTGGTTGTTTATGAACTTTGGTGATTTTTGGCATTCAAGTTTACCATATTCTATCTGTTAAGCATCTCATGAAACCTTTCATTTTATAGTGGATTAAGTGATTATAAATTGGAGTTTTAAGTTCCTTTCTTTGTATAGGTAGCAAACATCATTTAACTAATAACTTTTGCAGCAGCACTGCCTTGAGCCATGCGATAATTTTTTTGATCTTGCAGTCTAAATAATAGCCTCCTATAAAACATTAGGTCTCTTGTAGCACGGTAATAACACTTATGTACATGCAAATTGTAGAGTAAAAGAAGTGATGTTAAAGAACTAGAGCTGCATATACAATAATAGATGAAGACTCAAGTCACCAGTCCAAGGTGATACTCCTAGAAAGGTATAGCTTGTCGATGTACTCAATCACCGGACGTGAGGCCCGGATGTACCTTTTCATCTTCTTCTCTGCTGACTGGTCTGCAATAAAATTGATCATAATTAAGAATCACTAGCAAATTTGAAAGAGATGCTGGATGGATAGAGAAAAGTTTTACACTTACGGGTTTCTTCGAGATTCACCAGAAGTTGATCCCTTGACGGAAGAGCATACATGCCGGCAGCAACTGCTGTCCTTATTGTCCAACTGTGGTATGGCGCACAAACTTGGGCATAAGCCGTAGAAGCTGCTTCCCTTAAAGAATAGTCACTGAAAGGCCAAGAAAGCAAGAGAGAGAGCTATATATCATCATGTAGAACAAAACCAAAATACCTGCAGAATGATACATAACTGCAGTCTGCAATTAGACATGAGGAGGTTGAACATACTCGGTCGACAAAAATTGTTCAAATAAAGCTCTGATGAGGTCAAGGCCCTGCCTAACTCGGCGCAAATTACGTGAGTGGCTTCCCGGGGTTTTTACCATGTCATTTGCAACATCAAAATCAATTATACTTTCTAAGGTGTCGTAAGTCTTTGATGCTTCCACAAGATCATCAACCTGAATGAACCAAACAGAGTGTGAGATCCTGCAGGAAGGCCAATTGGATTGAAAATGCAACCAAGAACGAATAAGAAACAGAGCCTCATTAGGAGTATGAATTATGCAAGAATTGAGAAACAAACAAAATTGAGAAGGCAAACTTGATCAGAAAGGCCAGATATCATCGACATCTGAAATCAAAATTGCAAGCAGAATGGGAATGCAGGATGGAAAACATATATTATAAATGATCTGCAACAGAGTTCTGCAGCATATTATATACAACATAATCATCAATGCAGCATATCTTTATCCCAAACAAATTGAAAATCTATATAAAAAAAAACACACACAATTTAGATTGAATTTGAAAAGTAAGAAGATGGATGGAAGAGAGAAACGGAACCTTGGAGACGTACTCCATCTCGGCGAACTTGAAAGCGAGGCCAAGGCAACTGAAGAGGATGGAGACGAGAGAAGAGGCCTGGCAGAAGGTATCCAAACTTAGCCTCTGTTGTTGTGGTTGGGATTGGAGGAACTTGTCCAACTCCTCAAAGGCTTCAACAATGGATGTTAGAGGAGGCGTGGACGTCGACTCTGCCATTGCCATACATAATAATTAGGGTCCTCAAGATGCAAGGCAGTTGCCTCTGTTGCTTTTGTTGTTTGTTGTGTTGAAAAGGGGTGCAACCTAGAACGTAAGGCTATGGGGTTTGAAGCTTCGCTAAGGATGCGGCCTGCCTAAGGTAAAGGAAACCACCACTTTTATCTTTTACATTACACGGCATGGGATCATCAAAAGTCAAACACAATCAGACCGACCATCCGGGAAAAGTCAAATCTCTTGTTTGTTTGTTCATCGGGGTTTCTTAACACCACTTTCCTTTTCTTCTTTTTTTCTAGATCTCCATTTTATTAGGCCTTGGTTGCTCCCTCTTGGGTCAGGTCCCAAACCCAAAGATAAAACTGGGCCTAGTTCATGGCCTTTTTAAGATCACCCAAAATTGAATCCAGTGTATATGTATTACGCTTTTTTTTAATCACCGATAAACTTCTGGGTAGTAAAGTAAAACTTACCATAAAATTAATTTTCCGCAAAATAGAGGCCTTGCTTTAGTGGATAAGATGAGTAGAAGCACATGTTTGAATTTCGTGTGCTTCCAAGATCTAATATACAGAGAATTGATCATACAAGCTGGAAGACTCAGAGAATCTATAATTTATTATTCAAAGTAGACATTCTCCTCATTTTCTTTACACTAAACTATGACCAGTGGTGACTGCCTACCTAAGCACTAATTGATTAATTAATTAAAAAGCCAACTAAACGCGATTGACAAGCTCTACGCCCTTCTCTTCAGACTCAGCAGCTTCTTTCTTGATGACCTGAATGGGCTTAAAAGTGTACATTTTGGCACAGACTATGTAGTAAATCAGATTTATAACTTGCAATAATGTGAGCACCCAGTAGAAGTATTCTAACTTCCCCTTGTTTAGATTATTATCTGGCAGCCAATTTGATCCATTAGGCCCAGCACTAAACTTGTGCACCAGGGACACCAAAAGAGTGCTCACATAATTTCCAGCAGAGATTGCAGTCCAAAACAGCGCAGCAGCAGTGCTCCTCATGCTTTCTGGTGCCTGGTCATAGAAAAACTCGAGGTGCCCAATTGACATAAATGCCTCAGCCATCCCATGAAGGCTATACTGAGGGATGAGCCAAAACACTGAAATGGGGATTATGGAATGAGGCTGATCTACAAGCCCATGAGCAAAAGCTGCATTTTTTCGCTTCGTTTCGACGAACCCAGCAACCAGTGTAGCCAGTATTGAAATGACAAAGCCAATTCCCATTCTGTGAAGGAATGTGATGCCTCTGTCGAGCCCTGTGAGCTTCCTGGCAAAGGGTATGAAGAGGCGGTCGTAAAATGCGATTGTGGACAGCATGGTGACTATGTTGAAGACACTCATGGAGCCTGCTGGGATTTCAAAGGACTTCGTGAGGTGCCTGTCCATGGTTTTTGCTTGCTGGAGTGAGAAAGTGTTTTGTTGGGCATAGGCTGTGATGAGGAGTATCCCTGATCCCCATATAGGTCCCATTCTAATCACAGATTTGAGTTCTTCCACACGATGAACGGTGTTCAGCCTCCATAGGTTTGGTAACTTGAGATTGTCTTCCTCAGTCGCAATGGCCGCCTTGTCAAGAAATCTGCATGTATATTTCACCATATGTATATTAGGGTAACGTTCTATCCCAATCGTCATGATAAGACTTACGTTGTTGTACTGTGAATTTAGATCGCAACTAATAAAACATTGTGATTGGTTGACAAGGAATTGGGTTAATTTAGCATACAATATCTTAAATTAAGAGCTACTTTAATTGCATTGTTCTTTTGTGTGTGTGTTTTGGGGATTAAGAATTTTATCCAATATTGTGGTGATGGCCAAATGATTGGTTCATATATGTTGGCGTTGATCTGGTGTATGAGAAACCCATTAAGCCAGTAAAACCTGGGAAGCAAAAAAGGTAAGCCAGCATGTTGTGGGAAAGGCAGGTCAAGCTCTGGAAAGCAATCAAAGGTGACTAGATTGCACGTTCATACTGTTGGATTCTTGCGGATTGTGGGATGATTACGAGTCTCTGACAATGGACTAAGCTAGAGGACGCGAGCTTTCTGATATAGAAACCAAACCAAGTATGTGGTGTGGTGTGCTGCTCAAGAAGATCAGAGGAGTGTGGACCCTACGTATTCAATTAATCAATAATGCATGGACAAAATGATTTAGTCATCATCTGCAACATGCTTTCACTTAACGACAAACAACCATAACAAATTGATAATATTGCCCCCGTCAAATATAGGTGTTGATAATAATGCAGGCTAGCTGTTATCAAAACTAGAGATATATTTTTTTTTTTGGATGTGATTTACCCTCTCTTTTTCTTCACTTATACTCTTTTTAACTTTTTAATACTTTTTATTCAATTTTGTTCCTTTTTTTTTCCTACCCTTACTCTACATTGATTTATTTTTACTTCACTTTTATATTAGTTCTTTTTCTTTACACTTAATTTTCCAACTTGCACTCCATTTTTAGTTTTTTTTTCCTTTAATGAAGTAAGAAATTAAGTATGTTTTTCTCCTTTTAATATTGAAAATAGAGTATAAGTTGGAAAATTAAGTGTAAAGAAAAAGAAATAATATAAAGTGAAGTAAAAAAGAAATTAATATAAGATAAGGATAGAATAAGAAAGAGAAAGAATAAAATTGATTAAAAAGTATTAGAAAAGCAAAAGAAAGTGTAAGCGTGGAGAAGAAGGGAGTGGGGAAATTAGATCTCCTTTTTTTATCTTCATTTTCTGTGAAAAGGGGGCCAAGCCAATTTAGCCAGATGGTGAAAAAAGCAACCCTCTGAGCTATTCAAAATTTCCAAGTCTGGTTTATGTGACAATTTATATTAAAACCAATTATGATAATTATGTGAGAAAACATGTCGAAGAGCTAATAAGCCACAAATATGCATGCAACTTGAGAGAGAGAGAGAGAGAGAGAGAGAGAGAGAGAGAGTTACTTCATGTGTTTAGTATGAAGAAGCTTCCCACCCAGAGAAATAGGGCCATCAAGTTCGTCATTCTGATACAGCAATCTAGGATCAGACACCAAAGGCAGCTTTCTCTTCTTGTAGGCAGCCACGGACACTTGTATCAACCGGGTAAACGGACTCCCAGCCGGATCCAAGTTCCGGTAAAGCGGGTACCCGACCATAAATATAATAATTGAGATAAACATGGCTATAGTTGGAATTCCAAGTCCCCAACCCCATCCTATATTGTCCTGGATATACACAAGCACTGTCACAGCCAGTAATATAGATGCCCCCATCACAAAATAGTACCAGTTGAAATAATTCCATGTCTTGGTGGTTTGCTTCTGGTCCGTCTCGTCAAACTGGTCCGCTCCGAATGCCACGACACAGGGTCGGATCCCGCCCGACCCGAGTGCACCTAGTAAAAGAGATGCATACAGAATTGCAAGCTGTCCCCCGTCGGCTTCTGTGCACACTTGGTTGTGTTGGCACGGCGGAGGCCTTAGTTGGGGAAGTACTGCCGATACCGTCAAGCTAATCATGCCCTGTTTAATTATGTACGAAAATACAAATGTTAATAAGAATTAGTCTTTGATTAATAATATTAATAACAAAAGAAAAGGACTGGTGTATCAATTCTTTGCTAGCTTGATTGTGACAATAGTGATGAATGTATGTCACTCACTAATTAAAAATTGAGCTCAATCATATTGGACATGCACTTTTAATAATCTGGCCCCCTTGTGTCAAATTCTACTTTCTCTGTTTTTCTTTTGGAAACCCCTTCATGAAAAATCATTTAAAAGGTCACAAATTCTATGTTCTTTTTTCTGTAGTTGATCTTGAAAATGACTCGCCATATAACTCACTATGATTGATAAGAACTCAATACTATTCCTTTTGGTGTTTCATTCACATGTTCTATATATACTCTTAAATCTTCATGTTTATGTTATGTGTCTATAAGAGAGAGAGAGAGAGAGAGAGAGAGAGAGAGAGAGAGAGAGAGAGAGAGTTGAGAATTACAATCTGGTAAATAATGGAAGCAATAGTTATAGTCCAGAAGCGGCCAGCGTAGGCATCAGAAAGGAAGGCACCAAGCAAGGGGGTCAAGCTCGCAGTGCCACCAAAGTTGGTGAGGGTGTTGGCTGCTTTGGTTAATGGCATATGAAGTTGTGTTGTCAAGTAGCTAATCATATTAGCATTGAAACCCACCACAGCCAACTTCTCACAAATCTCATTAGCTACAAGCCATGAACAACAGTACAATCTCCATTAGTATATTAATCAATTAATTAAAACCCCAAAAACAAACAAACAAAATAATTAAGAGATAATTAAATTAAGAAGAAGAAGCAGAAGAAGAAACCGCTGGCTAGTGATTAGCTTACCAAAGATGAAGGGCATTGTGACCAAGCCTCCCTTTTTCCTTGCAACATGGTTGCCTTTCTCCTCCATCTTTTCCATCTGCTTTGAGTTTTAAGTGACCCACGAAGCTCCATTATTTATAGGACAAATGCAATAATGAAGGATAGAGCAGAGTAAAACTTAACTTTGAGTTACCCTTACTGTTTCATCCACAAAAATTATTTATTTTTATTTTGGCTCTGTGTGTGTGAGAGTGTGTGGGGCAGGCAAATTGTGGCCTATAATAAGACATCGAAACCAATATACGATATATAGGAAGCAGGCAGGTATGTGTATGTGGACACAGAATTAATATTTACATTTTTTTTTTCTAGACTTGTCTTATTGAAATGCTGAAATAATGCAAACCTGATGCGGGATGAACTGGCAAGACTGTTCCTCATACAATTATTGGCAAGCATCTGTTAGCCTATGCCAAAGATAAGATTACCATTTAATTAAACGCCTCATTAATTTGTTTCGCCAAACCAACTAAGGGGAAAATTGAAAATTACTAATTAAACACACAAACATATGAAGGGGAAAAAAAAAATTAGGTTTATTCGTGCAGTGGAGATTGTCTGGTTCAAAATAAAATGCGATTATATATATACTAGCCTCTCCGCAAGCGCTGCGAGGGACTTTTTTTTTAAAAAGATTTAAATTTATTTTAGAATTAAAAATAATAATAAGGTAGTTGTGTTTTATAAAAATAAGATCCGTTATCTGATTTTTCTTTTAATTTTATTTTTTTTAAATGAAAATTTGTGAATTTATTATATTATTTTTATTTAATTAATAATTTTAATTCTTAATATTTATATTAACTAATGATATTTTTTGATATTCAAATTTTCTGCCTTTTGCTATGTATATAGATATATAGTAAGCTTCCACAAATATCAACAAACTAGAATTGCTGGATTGGCTTAGGATCGTGGCCATGCGCCATAAATCAATATGAACACGTGTCTGTAAAATAAGAGAGGAAGGAAGAGAGAAGACGAGTTCAAACACAACTATTGGAAATGCTGAAGAAGGAAGTGCATTAATTAAACATAGATCAAATAAAGGCAAGTTTTATCGTCTGATATATTCCTTATCACTATGACACTAGTGGGAGTGGGAGATAATAATATTCCAATTTCAAATCAATGCAGTCAGCCAAGCAATAAACATTCAAATGCAAAAACTACAAATTATGAAAACGGCCGTGAGTAGAGAGTCCCCCGCCCCCCCAACTTTATTCACCAGTGCTTGACGTGAGGCATGACGCAGGCAATAGGTGGTGAATTGGTGAAAACTGACAATTAAAAATTCACCCGAACAACAAACACACTTGTGAATCAATGGAGTTCAGTGAGATAGAATAATATTATCTACGATATAAGTGATAATCTAAAGGGACATTTTAGAAAAAGCAAAAGGAGAGAGAAAAATTTTAAAAGAAGCAAAAATGAACAAAAATGCCCTTATTTATTTATAGATTTCCTAAGGAATCCAATACATTTGCATGTATTTGATTTGAAAGTTGAGTGGTTTTTTTGTCTTTTTAGAAAAAGCTTTGGCTTTTTCCAAAAGTGAAATTTTTTTTATGTCTAAAACCTAAAAAACCTTAATCTCTAAACTATAAAGGAATATAGATTTCTCACACACACACTACCATAATATTAATGTCATAGGATTCGAATTATGAGACCACTAATCTACAAGTCAAAATTATTTTTCACTGAACTAGATGCCACCATTAGCGACAAATAAAGTATATTCATTGTATTGTCTCATAAATATTCTGTTTTTGTTAGTAAGACCTGGCAATATCATATACGATCCGTTAACACGACACGAATTCATACAAAAAATTTAGTGTTCGAGTCTGTGTTATCGTGTCGTGTTTCTATCGTGTTGACCCGTTAGCCACCCGATAAGTTATCGTGTCGTGTCGTGTCAATTCGCGAATACTCGTTAACCCGTTAAGCTCAGTGGCATTTTTGTAAATTTATCTCTTTCTTTTTATATTTTTCTTTTTTCTTCTTCTCTTTTGTCTCTTATTCCCTCATTCCCCTGATTCTCTCTCTCTCTCTCTCTCTCTCTCTCTCTCTCTC